TATTACTTATTTATTATTCACCAATATATTTCAAAACGAGAGACTAACACCCGAACCTAAATAGGTTTTCGTTGCTCTCTTGCTGCTTCTACAAATCGTCGGCGCGCGTAAAAAGTGCGCGACAAACACGCGCACACAAAAAGACGCTATGCCCTCGAGCCCTCGGTTCCTGCATTCAATCTCCCTGAGCTTTCGATGACTGCCACGTCCTTCCAAATAAATAAATTGGTGGACGACCCCTCACTCGCTAGAACAAAAATTACGGTTGCTTTGCGTTACGTCGTCGATCGTCATGGTAATTTGAAGATCCCCAAAACGATAATGGGCGGTCCGCATGATCCATCGGTCCCAATTGACATTTCAGCATACCCTCCACCGATCCTGCAGACAGCCACCGCCTGCTGGCCAGTTATGTCGCCAGTCGCGGTAGTTGAGGCTGGCTGTGTTTACTGACATGCGAGGAAGGAGGAGTGTTTTCGAAGCCCCGAAGTTTCGGACGTGCGGTTTGGAAACAAAGAAACTGGAATTCGGAAAGGCCACTGGAATTCGGCAGAACAACAAAAGAAGAGCGCGGCAGTAGGGGGTGGGCAGTACGAACAGAATGATGTGAGAGCGGGAGGTTAGAGGCGGCGGAGGCAGGACAAAGGGCGGAACAGAAGCAGAAAAGACGTAGCCGACTTGGTGATGGAGGCTCATAAGGAGGCTACCGCTCCCAGGCGGTATTGGCGCGGACGACCGGTTCAATCTTTTCCGAGCCATCCTGGAGGCCGTCCTCCATTGTGGCCGCTCGGTCGAAGATTCCGGGGTACCTGACAATTATCGCCTCATCGGCCGCTTCACGTTGTCGGCGTGAATAGCGGTTACTCACCATCGCGGTTAGTAGCTTCCAGTGGGGCTTCATCATCTTGAGTAGCCCCATGATACTTTCCCGCATTACCTCCGTCTCCTCCTGGATGCAGTAAGCCACTGCAGGTTCGGTCAAGCGAACGTCTCTCAACTGATGCACTTGACCAGACGTGCGGTTCCAGTGCTTCTCCAGGCAGGAGTAGACGGTTGCTAGCGGGGCATCCAAGCGAGAGTGGGAAGGGTAGCCCTTGACCGTGCGTCCCGCCTGTATCCCTTCGCCATCCAGCAAGTCCGGCTCCTCCAGCGAACCGATCCTGAGGAGCTGACCAGTGGGCGCCGGAGCCATTTCCTTAGCCCTCTTCAGAGCCACAAACTTCGCGGCTGCCTCGATGAAGCCGCGAAACCGCA